GTGGGCCGTGTGCAGACCAGCGTGTGGCGCAGGCAAGGACCCTCCTGAAAATAAACAGCCGCTTCCTTGCGAGCCGCTTCCCTCGGCCTGCATCGCCTTCTCCGTCGCGGCGGGCCTGCCCAGACGCAGAAGGTGAGGATCGGGAGCGAGGGGAGGGGAAAGCGGCGCTGCGGGCCCGTGTCCGAGGCGGACGAAGAGGGCAGGGAGCGGTGAGGCGGCGATGGCGGCCTCACTCGAGCCTTTTCCGCTGCTGCGTCAGGCGGGAAACTCGGCTGCCCCCGCCGTCTCCGGGCCAAGTTTCCGGCCTCCTGCAGTCGGGGTACCCTCCCGCCCTTCCTTCCGTCCTGGGAAGCTGGCTCCCCGCGCGTCGTGGCCTCTCTCGGGGCGAAGGCCGCACCCCAGGCCACAGCCTTTACAGCCAACGAGGCCCTGGCTCGTGCGCTCTTGGGACCGAGGCTCCGAGCCTTCGAGGGTCTCGGGCTGCGGGACGGAGGGTCGTTTTGGCGGGAACTTCTTCAAAGGAGGCCTTGTGGTGGGAAAAGGCCTCGGTGCGGAGGGAGGGGGATGGGGCTGGGCCCTTAATGCAGGCCACGTGCTGGTGTAATGGGCCGGCGGGCCATGTGCCAGGGGTGCGGGATGGGCCCAGGAAAGGGTCCTGGAGGAAGTCGTTGCGTGTAGGGGGTGGTACTCCGCCGGAAGGCCCGAAAGCCTGGAATCACACTCTCCATACTGGATAGCTTCCCGACTCTTGAATTTTTATAGCCAAGCCTTAATGGACTTGTCTTACGTTACACTTCGAAAAGGGGCAGTTAGGGCTCGCTTTCACGAATCTACACTATTTAAGTTAGAGGGGCCTTTAAAAAAAATCTCGTTACCAGAGGGGAACAAATGGCCAAACCTCCAAAATCATAGCATCGTTCATTGGATTAAGGAAACCGATACTGTTGAATCTAACAGTGAGACGTGGTTAATTAGCCAGCCTCCATCTAGATTTTCCAAACGTGAAAGGCATCGTGGCCCGCATTTGGGTTCTCATGATGTTAATTTTAAGACGGGTAAGGATTTTGCTTGTTGGCACATGTTAACCACGTGGTCTTAGACACACGGGGCACTTCCAAGGAAGTGACATCTGGGGGGGGGGGTCTTAGAAAAAGAAAACATCGCTCATTGTGACTTCAGATAGTGTGTAAAAGTCTGTTTTCATTTTTTGTTTCTTTTAAGGTGAAGGAGGATTAATTACATCATCTTGCCCCCAAATTTCAAGTTTTTAAAAATAGGTTTTTCTTTTTTCCAGTTGTATGGCCCAGTTTTAGAGAAACATAACCAGTTAATTTTCTCATCGCTATCTCTTTAATCAAATCAACAGCTTTTTTCCTTTTTTGCTTAAGCACCATAAATTGCAAGTTAGGATTTGAGGGTTTTAAAAAATGTATGAAATGAAGTTCCTACCTCTTTGCCCCCCCCCCCCAAGCAATTATTTTCAGATAGTTCTAAAAAATCACTGATCATGGCTTAATCAAACACATTCAAAGTGCCACATACATAGGGGCATGCTCTTTAGCTTGTTGAACCTGATCCTTGCCTACAAGGAGCTCTGTGCTGGAATATAAAAGGAATAATGTATTAGATCCCAAGAGCTGGACAAAGAATTTTTCTTTCTAAATTGCAACTCTTGGCAACAGTATTTTTTAAAAAGCTAACCGTAGGAGCCAAATTGGTGGAAAATCAAGGGTTAGTTATTACACCAGCAGTTGAATACCTGGAACAGGCAGAGTGATACCTTTCTTAAGGTATCATAAATGGTTTTGTAATGTGATTTTATGACTGTATTCTTTTTTTATCTTTTAACATCTAATAAGAATATGTGGTATGTACATGGGAAGGTACCAAATCAGTGCTTACAAGCAATAGAGCCACAATTCGACTTAAGGCATACCTCATTTTATGGCACGTCACTGTATTGCAGCAGATGTTATGATTTTTACAAGTTGAAAACAAGATTCGCCCTGGCTGGTTTGGCTCAGTGGAGAGTCACGGGTTCGATTCCAGTCAAGGTCACATGCCTGGGTTACGGGCTCGATCCCCAGTGGAGGGCGTGCAGGAGGCAGCTGATGGGTGATTCTCATCATTGATGTTTCTCCCTTCCTCTCTGAAATCAATAAAAAAATACATATATATATTAAAAAGAAAACAAGACCCTCCAGCAAAAAGATTAAAAACACTTTACTGCTGTGATCTGGAACCAAACCTACAATGTATATGAGGTGTTCCTGTAATTGGAAAAATAGGTCTGTTGGTTAAACACTTGACCACAAAAGAGATTTTGCTTTTGCTTTTTCCCCCTGCGGGAGTGAGAGTTTTTTTATTTTTTTAATATTGGCTCCTTTCCTCTTCATGGCCTCCTGACAGTAGGTGGAGAGCCAGGAGACTGATGCCAAGGCATCCTGGCCTGCTATGTGGAGAACGCTCTTTCTATACCATCTCACTTAATAGAACTATTCTGGCAGTGTCAGATGCTGTTGCAGTAAGGAGACTGGAGTAAACTGCACCATTTTCATGTTTTAAGTAAAAAGCTGGAATTAAATGAGAGCTTGTGGCCACCAAAATTCAAGTTGTAAGCCAATGGAGTCTATTAATTAGGAGTATGAGAGTATAGTGCAGTGATTACCTGGTGTTCCATAATTGCAAATGAGAGCATTAGTGGGTGAAATCAGGTTGCCACGAGCCCTGGCTGGGTACGTAGGTTGGTTAGAGCATCATCCCAATAAGCAAGGTTGTGGGTTTGATATCCGGTCAGAGCACATGTAAGTAGCAACCAAAAAATTAACTTCTCTCTCTTTGAAATCAATAAATTAAAAAAGAAATCAGGTTGCCAGTCTTTGGGTCCGTGGTGGCACTCTTTAAGTTATACCTTGAAGGTTAAGAAAATCTGTCTTGGCTTCAAATTCAGGAAAGCTGTGTGATGGTACACTGTGAATAAATTCATTTATGGCTGTGGATTTTTAAATACAGAGTTTTAAAGTATATTTTAAATTAAAATTTAAGTTAACATGTGCTTTACAGTTATTTGCTATATAGCAGTAATATGCTGTATATTTTTGAAGTAGGGAGTGAATTGGTATATTCTTCCTGTACTTTATTACCACTTAACCCTAGCAGAGGACTCTGCAGAAGACTTGAAATGCTGACTGGAGAACTTTCTAGTTATAAGACTTTGAGTAAGTCACTTGGTCTCAGATCTCCAGTTTCTTTGTCAGTAAAATGGGAGCAAGAGTACATAACTTGCAGGGTTGTGAGCATTATACATAACATGTTTATTAACCCTTGACTCATAGTAGATATTTAGCTATTAATTAAAACCCGTCGGGGGTAACGAGAGCAGACAGCAGTATATGTAAATACTAATCAAAGTCATGCAGTAAATGCAGGAACCAGGATAAGAACATAGAATTGCTCCCAGTTTTGTACTTTGTTCTCCATTATTCTGGTCAGAATGCAGGTAATATATAATGTAACTTCCTTCCAGCTTATCATCTGTAGTTTGTTTTTGCTAATAGTCTGAAGTGTTTCAGTAACCTGTTGGAACACTAAACTGATTCATTAGAGCATAAAAATGAGTGGGTACATTCATGGGACTAAAGCTCTGCTATGGTCTAAATGCAATTAGGTCAACAATGTTGGATGAGTCAGGGATAAACCTAAGGTCAAAATAACTAGAGATAGAGCATATTTGAGTATATATAGCTGTGTTAGGAAAATCATAAAAAAATAAAGCCAGCCAGATCCCACACACACACACACACACACACTTTCCTTTTGCTACTTTTCTTTTTTTTAATGTATTTGTGGAGTGAGTTACGGAACTCATTGTTAGTCTTGGGCATGTACTGTTAAGATTTAAGTAGTTTACTGGCTTTGTTCTTAGTACCAAAAATATGGTTCAATTACTAACATTAACGAAGACAAATCAGTATAACCATTTGTGTTTTGATACTAATACCAGGATTTAAATCTTAAAGCCTAGATGAGTGCAAAACCTGTAAAATAGATCTCTTAGTTTACAGTACATGGCCCCTCACAGTGAATCTTCAATCTTTTCAAGCAGTATCTTGACTGCCTTTAGTACTGTTGCCTGATTGCTCTGTGCTCTTATCATCTTTAGGTGTGGTTTGTGTCATGAAAATTTGACACACAAAAAATCGAAATGAAAACAGGTAATCTGATTGTTGAAAATATGAAATCATTTATAATTCTCGTTTTTTTAAGTTGGGCATAACTGATTAAATCACATTAAGCCCAAGTCATTAAAAAAATATATTTTTATTGATTTCAGAGAGGAAGGGGGAGGGAAAGAGAGAGAAACATTAGTGATGAGAGAGAATCGTTGATCGGCTGCCTCCTGCACACCCCCTACTGTGGATCAAGCCCGCCACCCAGGCATATGCCCTTGACCGGAATCGAACCCAGGACCCTTCAGTCCGCAGGCTGAAGCTCTATCCACTGAACCAAACCTGCTAGGGCTATAATTCTCTTCATTCCATTCTGGAAGTAGACTTGATGAGGTGGGAGAGTTGAGTATATGCAGAGTTAGCCTGCTCTAAGCCTGCTATATAGACATTAGACTGAGCTCTATACTTTTAAGCAGTCTAACTTAATTGGGGGAGGAATGGAAAAGAAACTAAGCAGAGGACATAAACCCTTGCAGTTTTTAAAATTTAGAATCTATTAAGCACTAGACACCTAGCAACAATTCTCATCACAGATCAGTTTTATCATCCTTTTCCAAATAAGGACAGGAGAGGGAGAGGGGGTCAAGTGCCTGAGGTAGTAACACAGCAAGCAGATCCTTAAGCTGGGTCAGATGGTTAATCCAGAGTTACTTATGGTCCCCAAATCTTGCTGTGTAAGGATACATTGGTATAGATACTGCTATGATTTTTAGCAGCAAAAGGAAGAAAATATATGCTCTCCTAACTGCCTACAACAGTGGAAATAACTATTTTGTCTTATAAGTTAGCATGTATGTGTGTTTTGTAGCATTCTGTAAAATATTACTGAGGCTGTGAATTCTTGGAGTAATAGGAAGAGCCTAGGTGGTAGGGGTCCTGGCTTGGCTGCTAACTTTTTTAGTAACATGGAGTGAAAAGTTTCTGTTACATAGGAGATTTTATTTGATAGTCTGAAATATTCTTGAGTTTAGAGTGGTGGTAGTCCATCCTTAATGGGGACCTAATTGAAAAGACATTGTTGCTTTAAACTAGCAATTTTTTAGCTGGTGTACCCTAAGAATTTTTATATTTTTTATTGATTTCAGAGAGGAAGGGAGAGAGATAGAAACATCAATGATGAATCATTGATTGGCTGTCTCCTGCACGCCCTCTGCTGGGGATTGAGCCCACAACCTGGGCATGTGCCCTTGATCGGAATCAAACCCTGGACCCTTAAGTCCGCAGGCTGAAGCTCTATCCACTGAGCCAAACTAGCTAGTCCCTGAGAATTTTTAAAACATGCAATACCTGACTAAATTAGTATATTTTTTGGTGTGCTGCAGAATTAGTTATTTTACATAACTTATTATTTTACATGTGCCATTAGTTGAAAAAGGTTGGAAATTGCTGCTTTAAACTAATGGTACAGTGACTTTTGATAGCAAGAATTTAGGTATTTTATTGTCAGTACTCAATTAGATTGGATTGGGTCTATACAAGAAACACAATTTGTTTCATTTAGCAAATGACTGTTAGGCCTTATACACACACACACACACACACACACACCACCCCTGGCCAAAAGCAGTTAAAATACTGAGTTATATAACTACTAAAGGATAATCATGGAGTGTTGTGATGATTCAATAATGCATTACTTGGTCTCTGCCCTAAAGGAATGTGATAAAAGGCAAATATAGTAGTGCCATCAGACAGATATTAACAAACTGTCCTGGGTCTTAATAGGAAGGAGAGTTCCAGGCTGGGAGATGTCAGATTTTTTTTATAGAGTTGGCATTTAAGTTGGCCCTTGAAGGTTGGAAAAGGTTGTGACAGGTGGAGGGGGCAGAGGCAGGACAGTGCAGCAAAATTCTAGCCAAGAGCAGTCATAGGTCTTGAGAATCACGAAGCCTGAAGTCTCAGTTCTGTCTTACTTTACTGTCTCTAGTTTTCCTAAGGAATAGCATGAAATTCTTTTTTTAAATATATTTTATTGATTTTTTACAAAGAGGAAGTGAGAGTGATAGAGTTTTAGAAACATCTATGAGAAACATCAATCAGCTGCCTCTTGCACACCCCCTACTGGGGATGTGCCCGCAACCAAGGTACATGCCCTTGACTGGAATCGAACCTGGGACCCTTGAGTCCGCAGGCTGACGCTCTACCCACTGAGCCAAACCGGTTAGGGCTAGCATGAAATTCTTTAAAGATCTGTTGGCTAAATAAAACCTGTATTTGATCATTAGGATAGGGCCCCCCCCCCCAAGGATAAGCAGCATGACTCTAAAATGGTCGACAACTGGTGGTCCGCAGACCACTGGTAGTCGTGAGGTCTGAAAGGTTGGCAACTGCTGCTCTAAAACATATTAGGAATAAGGAAGGAAGATACATTACAAGGGGCTGAATGAAAATGTAGAGCAGCTGATTGGCTGTGTTTGAGCCAAAGGGGAGAAGGCAGGTTGCATACACATTACCGGAGCCCCACTGGGATGTGCCCTACTGATGATAGGTCTTTGGAATATTAATGAAATTAATGTTTTCTTTACCTTTAAGATTTAGTGGGTTTATTTAGTTATTTTTAATATTTTTATTGATTTCAGAGAGGGAGGGAGAGAGAGAGAAGCATAAATGACGAGAATCATTGCTTGGCTGCCTCCTGCATGCCCCCTACTGGGGATCAAGCCCACAACCCAGGCATGTGCCCTTGACTGGAATCAGAGCCGGGGTCCACAGGCTGACGCTCTATCCACTGAGCCAAACCGGGTAGGGAGCTAGTGAGCTTTTTCAAAACCTTAATTTATGTGAGAATAAAATTTGTTGATGTGAACAAAAACATCTAAAACTAGTTTCAGTGTATAAAGTTCTGCTTTTGCCACTGAACTGTGCATGTCTGTTTTGCAGAAAAGTTTAATTGCAATCTAATTGGAGAAATACTGCTTTTCCTAAAATTGTAGTTCATAGAGAAATCACATTTTGACCAACTTTCAGTTAGGAATTAGGGTAGGAGGAAGTAGAGTGTTTTGTTCATCTGAAAGTGTTACTTTAGCTAATTGTCTACTCTCCAAAATACTACTTTTCCTGTCATTTCTTTTTTCTCCGTTCATTTTGGATCTGGGTCCCATGAATGGAGAAGAAAAAAAGAGTTCATGAAAAACCTACATATAGGTTAATCGGTTATTGAGTAGCTTAATTTTAATATTTCTGTGCAGAAAGTAAACCTAAAATTTTAACTACTGACTTTATTCCACTGACAAAAATCTGATGATTCATTATAACATGTTTTATTTGTACTTTACTATTATGAGATAGATAGATTATTTTAAAGCAACAGTCTTAAAGTGGGGATTGCTCAAACTATCGTTTCTTTAGTTTTAAACAGTTTTTAAAAATATATATTTTAATTACTGATTTCAGAGAGGAAGGGAGAGGGAAAGAGATAGAAACATCAACGATGAGAGGGAATCGTTGATCAGCTGCCTCCTGCTCACCTACACTAGGGATCGAGCCCTCAACCTGGGTGTGTGCCTTGACCAGGAATCGAACCGTGACCTCCTGGTTCATAGGTTGACTCTCAACCACTGAGCCATGCCAACGGCCATTTCTTTAGTTTTAAAAATGCATGTTGAATATTGTCATGTTTTCTAAAAGATAGTATCTTGTTTAAATATTAAATTTTAAAATACTTGGGAATTTTCAAATTGCCTGGATTACCTTGTATAAGGTAGTGATTGTTTCTGTGCAAGGAACTCATTGAGAGCAATAGGTAAATGTGCTCAAATCGGTCTGACTGTAAATTGGAGAAGATTGTAAACTGCAGTTCATTTTGTAAACTGCAAAATGGAGAAAATGGGAATGAGGGAAGGATGAAGTACCATAATCAGCTTTTTTTCTGTGATCATTTTTATGTGCCACTCATCTTTTCATTCTGTTTTTTTCAAGTGGAAATTAGCACTTTACATGATTTAGACTAACACCAATAAAGAAAGCAAATGTAATCTCGAATTTTGCAAAAAAACATTTTTAGACTTCACTGGCTGGTTTCTTCTGACTAGAAATTTACATTATGTATCTGCGTGATTTTTAAATAATGACAAGTGGCAAGAGTTGGTAGAAAGATTCCTCTGAAAATTTACACTGCATCTGATTGCAGAGTTAGGATAAGTAGACTGACATTTTTAAAAAAAATGACAGTGGAAGAATTTGAAACTCAACATTAGCTTAAATTTTTGCTCACTAGATTTTTCTACAACTTGATGAACCATATATATACCATGTACTGACTTTTGGTGCTTTGGTGTGTTTGGATGATTCCACTATCCTGTCCGTTTTAATTGAAACAGTATGTTTTGCTAGATCATGGTGCTTATTATGCTTGGCTTTGAGAGGGTATTTAAAAAACTTGGTGTACCATTGCTTGACACTGGAATTTAAGGGTAAAAATGTTTAGGTATGGAAGTATGGCAATGTAAAGGTTACATTATTTTTAGCTAGTTCCTTTTTTAAAAGCTACTATACTAGGAATTTGTCCTGCAACATTCCATTTCCATTTCGTTCCAGGAATAGCCTGTTTATTTTTAGATTGTTATATAAAAAGTATAAAATCCACTTGCTTTGGTAGGAGTTTTGCTTTAAGTATAAAATTACAGAAAAATTTGAAAAGAGAAAAATAGAAAAAATATAAGTGGTCCAGTTCTTTAGATAGTATCAGCATGTTGGTTTACTTTGTTGTTTTTCTTATATTTTAAAAAAAATATATTTTTATTGATTTCAGAGTGGAAGGGAGAGAGGGATAGAAACATCAATGATGAGAGAGAATCATTGATCGGCTGCCTCCTACAGGCCCCCATCTTGGGGTCAAGCCCGCAACCTGGGCATGTGCCCTGACTGGGAATCAAACCGTGAACTCCTGGTTCATAGGTCGACACTCAACCACTGAGCACACCAACCGGGCTGTTGTTCTAATATTTTTAACATACTGTACCCTCTATAGAGGAAATTTATATCCTGCCTTTCTGTAAATGTATCTGCTCTGAAGACTCAATCAGCAAGCAAGAGCTCAGTATAACTACGTACTGTTAGGTGCTAAGGCTACAGAGAGAAATTATTTTTCTTTACCTATCCCTCACAGAATCCACACTACAACTCCATTGGTTTGGGTTATTCCAATTTTATTACCAGTAAATGACTTCCAGTTGCCCAAAATAAAGTTTACTGGTTTATAACCATGAAGATGTGTCCTTTAAGTTGGATCTGGAATGAGGTATTACTAATTGTTTAATGAGTGTTCATTGATAAGCTGAAAATTGCATCACTCTATCACTAACTTTTGTGTATTGATCTATACATGCATAATCTTATTTTGAAGATCTAACTGCAGCCATGAGCAGCAATGAGTGCTTCAAGTGTGGACGATCTGGCCACTGGGCCCGGGAATGCCCTACTGGTGGAGGCCGTGGGCGTGGAATGAGAAGCCGTGGCAGAGGTGGTTTTACCTCGGATAGAGGTATTTTTGTCGAATAAAAAATTTTGAAGTACTAGAATATTCATTAGTATCAAGACTGGTCTAATTTGTTAAAATTTTTTGTTTTTGTTTGTTTCTACCCAAAATAGGTTTCCAGTTTGTTTCCTCATCTCTTCCAGACATCTGTTACCGCTGTGGTGAGTCTGGTCATCTTGCCAAGGATTGTGATCTTCAGGAGGATGGTAAGTATTTAACACTTCTCATATCCTTCTAGAACTTGGAGAGGTGAGCATGCACAAAGCATTGGAAAGATTTTCCACTCTTGAGGTTTCCTATTGTATGGTTTAAAATATAGCAACGTTTTATAAAGGTTTTATAGTCTTGGTCTGCTTCTTTTTCTTATTGTTGAAGCCTGCTATAACTGCGGTAGAGGTGGCCACATTGCCAAGGACTGCAAGGAGCCCAAGAGAGAGCGAGAGCAATGCTGCTACAACTGTGGCAAACCAGGCCACCTGGCTCGTGACTGTGACCACGCAGACGAGCAGAAGTGCTATTCGTGTGGAGAGTTTGGACACATTCAGAAAGACTGCACCAAAGTGAAGTGCTATCGGTAAGTTGTTAGAATGTTGCTGCAGGAAATGCTCATTGCAGATACTGTTTTAGAGATGAATTTACTATAAATGGAATGACCTTGTGGATCAGTTCAGTGTTTAAAAATAAGAATGGTAAAAGCTTTGAGATGTACTTACCTGTGAAATCCTAGAAATTATTTTGCATAAAGATATAACATCTTGGCCCGTAATTTGGTTTTGATGTTGGTTTATCCCTTTTGGTGAAAATTTTAATTTTGTGGCTTTGCTACGCAATTGAGTAGCTTTGTTACCTAATTTCTTCTTGCTTTTAGATCAGGGGTTAATGATAAGACTTAGTGTCATGAGAACAAAAATATGTTGATTCACTTGTCATTGCTTTTTGTTCTGCAATGACTTTATTTCAGAGAGGAAGGGAGAGAGAGATAGAAACATCAATGATGAGAGAGAATCATTGATCAGCTGCCTCCTGCAAGCCCCAAACTGGGTACTGAGCCCACAACCCGGGCATGTGCCCTGACTGGGAATTGAACCCTGACCTCCTGGTTCATAGGTCAACACTCAGCCACTGAGCCACACCAGCCCGGGGTGCAATGACTATTTCTTTAGTACAGTTTTACATTTTCTGAACACCATTGTGAAATTCTTTATTTATTTTAGGTGTGGTGAAACTGGTCATGTAGCCATCAACTGCAGCAAGACAAGTGAAGTCAACTGTTACCGCTGTGGCGAATCAGGGCACCTTGCACGGGAATGCACGATTGAGGCCACAGCCTAATTATTTTCCTTTGTCGCCCCTCATTTTTCTGATTGATGGTTGTATTATTTTCTCTGAATCCTCTTCACTGGCCAAAGGTTGGCAGATAGAGGCTACTCCCAGGCCAGTGAGCTTTACTTGCCATGTAAAAGGAGGAAAGGGGTGGAAAAAAATCGACTTTCTGCATTTAACTACAAAAAAAGTTTATGTTTAGTTTGGTAGAGGTGTTATGTATAATGCTTTGTTAAAGAACCCCCTTTCCATGCCACTGGTGAATAGGGATTGATGAATGGGAAGAATTGAATCAGACCAGTAAGCCCGTTCTGGGTTTGTTAAATATGTTCCCATGTAGGAGGTAAAAACAATTTTGGAAGTGTCTGTGAGCTTCCATAAATAACTTTAATTTTAGCATAATGATGGCCTTGGATTGTCTGACCTCAGTAGCTATTAAGTAACATCAAGTAACATCTTTATCAGGCCCTACATAGAACATCCAGTTGAGTGGGAGTAAACAAAATAAAATGACAAATATGTCTGTTAATGTCTATGGGAAGAAAATCGGGATAAATGCCTAAATAGGAACACCTTAAAGCAGCATTGATGCTGGATATGCAGATGGTGATGGCAAAGGTTTAGAACACATTTTTTTGCAAAGACTAAATCTAAAACCCAGAGTAAACATCTATGCTTAGAGTAAGCATAATTTGGAGCTATTCAGGAATTGCAGAGAAATGCATTTTCACAGAAATCAAGATGTTATTTTTGTATACTATATCACTTAGACAACTGTGTTTCATTTGATGTAATCAGTTTTTAAAAGTCAGATGGAAAAAGCAACTGAAGTCCTAGAAAATAGAAATGTAATTTTAAACTGTCCAATAAAGCTGGAGGAGGAAGGGGAGTTTGACTGAAGTTCTTTTTGTTTCAAATTTTCATTGATGTATATAGTACAAAATGCCATATTAAAGAAGGGAATGTGGAGTACTGAAAGCTGACAGTTTGGACTTTTCTTTGTGTATTAACTCAGTCATGTCTTCAGTAATGAAATATAAACATAGGCTTAACTACCTCGGTGTCCGTTTTGCCAGGGATATAGAGAAGATTTAATTTTCTTTCTGTGCCATTGTAATAGTGCCCTTTAGTTCATTGTTGATACTGAACAGTTGTAATACCATTGCTATGTTTTAGCATTTCGTATTTTTCCTGGACTTTACAAGGATCTGAAATACTGGATTCCTTGTTTTTTCTTTTTCTAAGATCTGATCCAGAGTTGAGATGGACTTTGGAAATCATTTAGCTTAAAGAATTCACTTTATAGATGAGTTAACTAGAAGTTTAATTTGCTTAAATGTATAGCGACCTAAAGCCTAGAACCTCAAGTGTCCTTTCCACCCTATGTCCTCTATTCTTTTTTGTCCCCCCACTAAACTAAATACAGTTCGTGGCATAATTTCCCGATTTGTTTTTTTCTCTTCACAATGTCATGTGACTTCTTGTATCTATTGTGAATTTTTTATCCTTCAAGTGGAGTTTGGTCAATTTGTGATAGTATATCACTGCAGTGCCACAATGTTGGTATGTCAGCTGTGCTGTGTACCAATTCAAACTTTGTCAAATAGTCCAAAGCAGGCAAGAAAGAAGGCATGGCAGGTTCATTTCCTTATGAAAACAGTTTTACATGTTTCTCTTTCATTATTTTTACTGAGCATACTGTCTCTGATGCTAACTAAACACATTAAATATGTTAATAATCTTGGTTTCTACCATAATATGTAACAGAAGACCTGTTGTCATATGTACTATTTAGAGTTGGGGTGGTGTGGTGCATGTACATGGGATTGTTTTCCCCCAAGGTTTCTGGCCTCAAGTTCAAAAACAAAACATAGCAAATGAGATATTTAGAACTACTTTGCTTCACACCATTCTTTGGGCTGCATTTGTGCCTAGTAGCCTTTGTTTTGAGACCCTTTGATAAGAACATTTACTTGTATTGACCTTAGTTACAGAGCAAGTGCAACATGAAAATATGTTTTGTAGGGAAATCAAGCTAATTACTAGAACCAATAGCTAAGAAACCTAATTCTGAACTTGGAGAATCTTCCAGGAGCTATGAACTGGGAAGAACCCACTCCCCCTGTGTTTCTCTCATCTCTGCTGATATTCCCATCCCTGTAAGCTAGATAAAAGATTGGGGATTTCTCTCACAACATGGGTTGAAGGGATTGATGAAGGAAAGGTAAGTGGGGTAATACAAATAATTTTGCCTTGTCTAAAGGACAAGACTTAATCTTGCTCTTGCACCCCTGTTTTGTTGCCTTTTTACCTACTAGAATAGAGGCTTTGTCAATGACTTAAATGAGAGGATCAAAAAGTCCTACATAGCCAGTTTTTCCAAACCAGCTTCAATCAGAGTTTATAAATTGCATTTGGTTAAGTTCTTTTAGTCTCTTAATCTCAACAATTGTAACCTTGATTTTCCCCCCCCCAAGAAGACCGTTTTCTTGAATGTCCTATATTTACTGATTTTTTTTTCTACATGGTGTCAATTTTATATCCCCTATGTTTCCTGATCTAGAGACTTTATTATTGGGTTCAGCTTGAATTTGCTTTAACAATGTTTAAAAGTAACGTTGCGCCAAAACCGGTTTGGCTCAGTGGATAGAGCATTGGCCTGCGGACTGAAAGGTCCCGGGTTCGATTCAGATCAAGGGCATGTACCTTGGTTGCGGGCACATCCCCAGTGGGAGATGTGCAGGAGGCAGCTGATCGATGTTTCTCTCTCATGGATGTTTCTAACTCTCTATCTCTCTCCCTTCCTCTCTGTAAAAAATCAATAAAATATATTTAAAAATAAAATAATAAAAGTAATGTTGCCCTGCTGGCATAGCTCTGGCTGAGCACTGACCTATGAAGCAAGAGGTCACGATTCAATTCCCCGTCAGGGCACATGTCCGGGTTACAGGCTCCATCCCAGTACAGAGCATGCAGGAGTCAGCTGATAGATGATTCTCATCATTGAGGTTTCTATCTCCCTCTCTCTGAAATTAGTAAAAACATTTTTTTAAAAAATGGCCTTAGCCAGTTTGGCTCAGCTGTTAGCGTTGGCCTGAAGACAGAATGGTTGCGGGTTGTATTCTGGCAAAGGGCACATATCTAGGTTTCAGGCTCAATCCCTGGTCCCAGTCCAGGCAACCAAGGTATGTGCCCTTCAAACCTGCCACCCTTGTCTGGGCTGACGCTCCATCACTTGAGACAAACTAGCCAGGGCAACATTACACTTAAATCTATTATTTACTTTTTGTTAATCCTCACCCAAAAATACTATTTTCCACTGATTTTTTTAAATTTTTTTTTAGAGTGAGGGAGGGGGAGGGACAGAGAAACATCTATGTGAGAGAGAGATCAATGGGTTGGTTGCCTCTCATGTGTGCTCAGATCAGGGCCAGGGATTGAACTCTTGACCCTTCTTGTGCTTGGGCCGACAGTCTTAACCACTGAGACACACCGGCCAGAACATTTCTAGGACATCTTATAGAAACATTTATCATAGACATAAAAAGTCTGTTATTTATGGACTTGGAGAACTTGGGCAAAATAAAGTGTGAACTTGAAAAACATTTGAATTAGTTTCTGTCTAAGAATTTTAGTATAGCCAATTCTTAAAATTGCTTGCCTTTACATTTTAACAATACCATTTGGAGGTAGAAAAGTGTCTCACATTTACAACATACAGATATATATAGACTCACATGCAGACAGACATTTTAGCCATGAGAAAAACAGTATTAAAAAACTGGGATTCAAATTTTGCCCTGGAGGCCTTTACAATTTATATTTGTCATTGACAAGTCAGGTCCCAAATGACCTTCCCTCTTTTAAAATATGACCAGCCATTTTTAACACTTCAAAAAATTGGGTTGACAACTAAACAACATCATAGATTGATCTATTTACCTAAATCCTCTTCAAAGGTGTGAGAGACCAATTAAAAATGTTTTCCATTCATTATGCCTATTTTATCGTTTTTCTATATTTGGTGCACGAAAATTAATGTAGATGTATAAGAATCCTCATTTCAGCCATCTTTCAAATATGTTTAGTGATTTCGGAAAGAGGAAGGGAGAGAAACATCAACTGGCGGCCTCCTGCACCTTCCCTACTGGGGATTGAGCCCAAAACCTGGGCATGTGACCTGACCTCCTGGTTCATGGGTTGATGCTCAACCATTGATGAACACTGGCCAGGCTCAGCCAACTTAGTATCAATGAAGGGCAGATAGTCATGGGACTTACTGGCTTCCGAGGAATCATTTCCCATGTTAATTTTGAGATCTGTAAAGTCTGAACAAACTTTCAGAAAAAAACAGGCCTTACGTGTACTCCAGTCTCCTAAGAATACCCAAGCCAGGGCAGTAAGAGCTTCCCAGATGCGACGGGAACCGAAAGCACAGGTCCCTCGGTGCACTAATTCCAAGGTGCCCTTCCCAAGGCTGCCATCAGCTTTGGGATCGGGATCATCTGTACTGCACTGGACAAATGGATGGTCATCTCTGCCACTCCAGGTTCAGGGATCTGAAAAACTTCCATCATCCCATCAGCTATTCAGGAACAGCTCAAAAAAAGGCATGGCCCTGCAACTTGAAGCAAGGAGGCCCAGAATTCCAAGAGAAACACCCAAGTTCATTAGATGTGTAAAAGGAACCCAGTGGGGCACAATGGGCCCCTGCTGGTACCTCACATCGGGTCTGGGTCCATTGGGTGGTCCTGGGTGGGCTTCTTTAGAATCCTGTGCTATGCCAAGTAAATTGATGAACTTACAGAGAATTACATTTTTTTTTTTTTTAGTTTAGAGCATTGGTTCTCAATCTTCCTAATGCTGCGACCCTTTAATACAGTTCCTCATTTGTGACCCTCAATTTCATTGTTACAAATTGAACATAAAGCATAGTGATTAATCACAAAAACAGTATGTAATTATATATGTTTTCCGATGGTCTTAGGCAAACCCTGTGAAAGGGTTGTGTGACTCCCAAAGGGGTCGCGACCCACAGGTTGAGAACTGCTGGTTTAGAGGAAGGGAGAGAAACAATTTGTTTTTCCACTTATTTACGCATTCATTGGTTGATTCTTGAATTTTTTTTTAAATTATCGATTTCAGAGAGAGGAAGGGAGAGAAATAGAAACAATGATGAAAGAGAATCATTGATCAGCCGCCTCCTGCACACTTGCACTGGGGACTGTGCCGTGACTGGGAATCGAAATGTGACCTGGTTCACAGGTTGACGCTCAACCACTGAACCACAATCAGTCATTGGTTGATTCTTGTATGTGCCCTGACAGAGGATGAAACCCACAACCTTGGGGTTTCAGGACAATGCTCTAACCAACTAAGCTACCTGGCAGGGCCCCTGTAGAGAATTTTTATGAGTTTATTATTTGAGCCAAACTGATGACATATGCCTGGTAGCAAGATCTCAAATGCACCCAAATTCCATTGAATTTTGAAATGCATAGCAGAGCTACACTGGTAATATCTTTTATTTTATTTTTTTTAATATATTTTTATTGATTTCAGAGAGGAAGAGAGAGAAAGAGAAACATCAATGATGAGAGAATCATTGATCAGCTGCTTTCTGCACGCCCCCTACTGGGGATCGAGCCCACAACCCAGGCATGTGCCCTTGATCAGAATCGAACCTGGGACTCTTCAGTCCACAGGCCAGCGCTCTATCCACTGAGCCAAACCAGCTAGGGCTACACTGGTAATATCTTTTAGCTGTTTGCATATTTTTGCTTATGTAGCAAAGCATTTATATGTATATATATTTTATTGCTTTCAGAGTGGAAGGGAGAGAGAGAGACATCAATGATGAGAGAATCATTGATCAGCTGCTTTCTGCACGCCCCCTACTGGGGATCGAGCCCACAACCCAGGCATCCTTCAGTCTGCAGGCTGACAGTCTAGCTAGCCACTGAACCAAACCATCTAGGGCTGTAGCAAAGCATTTTTTTTCATATGTTAATTTGATTGGTGTGTGCATTCTTGCTTTGATACTTAAAAAAACAACTGAAGAGAGTCCTCAACCATTTTATTCCTGCCCTGGCCAGTGTTGCTCAGTTGGATGGGTGTCATCCAGTGCACCAAAAGGTTGCCAGGATTCCCGGTTAGGGTACATGACCAGGTTGTGGGCTTGATCCCTGGTAGGGTGGGTGCAGGAAGCAGCCGATTGATGTTTCTCTGACATCTCACATCAATATTTCCCTCCCTTCCTCTCTGTAAAAAATCAATAAAATATATTTTTTTAAAAACAGATGAATGAGAAGCAAATTTACCGGTTTTGCTCAAAGAAAACTCCTCAGCCTTGGAGGCAGTTTCCCAGCTTGCTATCTGCAATCATGCCATGTACATTCTAAGTATATTTGGCATATTTTAAGTTCAGTGCTTTATGTAAAAAGTACCTGTTTTTATGCTGTCTCTTCATCAGGGCATGAGCTCCAGAGTGTTTACTGGATTTTTTATTTAAGATTTATTTTTATTGACTTTAGAAAGGGAGAGGGAAAGAAAGATAGAAACATCGATGGTGAAAGAGTATCGTTGATCGGCTGCCTCCTGCATGCCCCACACTGGGAATTGAGCCCATAATCCCGGCACATGCCCCTGCTGGGAATCGAACCATGACCTCCTGGTTCATGTGTCAATGCTCAACCACTGAGCCACTCAGCCGAGCTGTTTACTGGATTTTTTAAATACTTCAGTTGTTAAATGAGATGAAATGCTCAGCCAACAAAGAACTTGGGCCTCAGAGGGTTTTGTTTTTGTTAATTACCAAAGAAATAGGTACGTGAGTATATTATTGTCATTTGCACATGAGTTTTGAGGCCTCTGGGGCCGAGATGTGAGACCCACAGTAGTCTCGTGTAGTTCTGCTTCCCTCACTAGGGCTGTCCTCTGCCCTCTGTCCCTTTCCCACCCTTCTCCTCCTCTCCACAAAAAGCCTTTTTTTTCCATCCTGTCCAACACAGGGCTTTTCTTTTTCTTTTATTGCTTAAAGTATTAAAAAGGGTATTACATATATGTCCCTTTTTTCCCCCCTGCCCTTGACAATCCCCTGGCCTCCCCTAACCCCAGTGTCTTATGTCCATTGGTTATGCTTATATGCATGCATACAAGTCCTTCGGTTGATTTCTTACTCCCCTCCCTCCTGCCCCCCATCCCTCCCCGGCCTTCCCACTGCAGTTTGACAATCTGTTTGAGGCAGCTCTGCCTCTGTATCTATTATTGTTCATAAGTTTATAATGGTCTTTATTATCCATGAATGAGTGAGATCATGTGGTATTTTTCCTTCATTGACTGGCTTATTTCACTTAGCATAATGCTCTCCAGTTCCATCCATGCCGTTGCAAATGGTAAGAGTTCCTTCTTTTTTACAGCAGCATAGTATTCCATCGTGTAGATGTACCACAGTTTTCTAATCCATTCATCTGTTGATGGGCACTTAGGCTGTTTCCAGATCTTAGCTATCGTGAATTGTGCTGCTATGAACATATGGGTGCATATATCCTTTCTGATTGGTGTTACAGGGCTTTTCAAGTTGCTGTTTTTCATGGAAGATTTGAATGTGGAATAATGTATGACTTTCTCTTTATTATGGTACCATTTAAATACATATAATGAGCAGTCTGGATGACATAATGCCACTTGGACAACGGAGAAAGGCACAGTAACACATAATGTGGGACAAAATGAAAGCCATTAGATGGGCAAATGTTGCTTGGGTTTGAGGATATTCTGTTGTTCTTTTTTTATTTATTTAATTTTCATAGATTTCAGACAGGGAGAAAAAGAAACATCAATGTTGAGAATCTGGGTTCGAGCCTGCAACCCAGGCATGTGCCCAGACAGGGAATCCAACCATGACCTCATGGTTCATAGGTCGATGTTCAACCACTGAGCCACCCCGGCCAGGCTGTTAGAGTGCTTATTTTGTTTATTTTTGTTTTGTTAATCCTCACCTGAGGATGTTTTTCCATTAATTTTTAGAGAAAGTGGAAAGGAGAGGGAGAGACAGAAACATTGATGTGAGAGAGACACATCAATTGGTTGCCTCCTGTAAGCACCCCGACCAGGCCTGGGGAACCTGCAACCAAGGTATGTGCCCTTGACCTGAATCGAACCTGGGACACTTCAGTCTGAGGGCTGATGCTCTATCCACTGAGCCAAACCAGCTAGGCCCGTTGGAGTGCTTTTTAAAGAACTTTTTAAAAAAATATATATTTTATTGATTTTTTTACAGAGAGGAAGGGAGAGGGATAGAGAGTTAGAAACATCGATGAGAGAGAAACATGGATCAGCTGCCTCCTGCACATCTCCCACAGGTCCATGCCCTTGACCGGAATCGAACCTGGGACCTTTCAGTCCACAGGCCGACGCTCTACCCACTAAGCCAAACCGGTTTCGGCTTTTGTTTGTTTTTTGACCCTAGATTGTAGGATCACTTGAATGAGGCAAAGCATCCTACTATTAATGGAAAAGAGATACTCCTTCAGCACCCTTTTTCACTGCTATGTTGGTGCTGTTGGACATGCTTCCTCCTTCCGTGTGTTATGCCAGGAAACCCACTACCAGGGTGGCTGATAAGGCAGTCAAAGCCCTCAAGGGCCTGTGATAGAACCTCATGGTTGTCACAGGATCCTCAGTCCCAGGCCAGGTCATAAGTGCTGTCATAGCCAAACTCCTTCTGCACATACAAAGGGTATTTGCTCCACATCTGTGGTCTGCTATTGCCTCTTTCGTCTTCACTGAGGCTGTCGCATTCATCAGAGCCTCTGGAATCTTCATTTCCATCACTGCTCTCCTCCTCTGGGTACTCATTGCGCCAATTATTCTCACTATTTTCATCATCTTCATCTTCCTCTTCATCAACGTCCTCTAGTTGTTTGCCATCATCCACCAGCTCCCACTCCTGGCTTAAGGGCTGCACAGAGAGGACCTTCTCAATCCATCCTGGAGTGGCCGTCTCCAAGTAGTAAATGTCATGCACATAGTCATCATTCTGTTCCTCCCGGTGCCCGATACTTGGTCCATCCTCAGATATAGTCAACCGCTCGGGGAGCAACTCTACAGAATTGCAAAGGGTCACATCTGGATCAGATACTTTGCAGGAGGCGGCAGCGGCGGCCTCTGGGTCTCCTTCGTGGACCAGATCCAACAGCTGGAAGCCTGCGTCACTGTCGGCTTCTGGGTTTTCCCGCGCATCCTCGGACTCCAGGTTATCCGAGAGAAGGCCCGAGGGTCGGCGTAGCTTGTGGCGGATACGCTGAGAGGTGGCCGGGGGTCGGGGCAGAGCGCGCAGGAGCTGGACCGGGTCCTCCTGGGTGCATATGGTGGCCACCAACTGGAAGACATTTTTCTCTGCTACTTTCTCCAGACCCTCGGGGGGCGTCTCTTGGACCGCCGACTCCACCGCATCTCTCCGGAGGCGTTTACAGGCGAGGGCCAGGGCCTCGGCAGGCTCCTCGCAGGGATTCCGCTTCACGCGGAGTATAGCCGTTCGATCAGCCTCCATAGCGGCGGTCGTAAAGCACGTTCAGGGGTTCCAAGTGTGGACTCTCCGTAAAGTAACCAATAAAATGTAGTGTTAAGTAAAGGAAATAAGTGTTACTCTCCGCGGAAACATCCAGTAAAGGGAGAAAGAGTAATCCAATCTGAGGAAAAAGCAAAGCGTCCTTTCGCAGCTCCCGAGTTCCCTTCCCCCAGACCTACAACGCCTAGTTCAGTTATGGTGGCGTTTTAACGCTAGAGGTATTTTCTGCCCAAAGTTTGCACAAGATGTTTTTCAAGTAAGTTTCTTGTACTTAGAAATGACAAGTTAAAAAAAAAGTCTTTTAAACTTGAAAAGCATTGTACTCTACGCAGGGTATTATGGGTATGCAAATGAAGCTGAGTCATCACCCTTGACATTGTACAGATACCTTAGTAGTCACTGGGTGCCTCTGGAGCCACCATTAGAGGGCGAAGCAGAGGTCAGGCTGACTGGGCTCTAAACCTCATTCTGGTTCAACCATCGAAACTGGTTTTTTTCCTTTTTTTAAAAATTAAATCTTTATTGTTCAGATTATTACAGTTGTTCCTCTTCTTCCCTCCATAGCTCCCCTCCCCTCCACCCGGTTCCCACCCCAGCCTCAGCCCTCTCCGCCCTCACTCCCCACCCACTGTCCTCATTCATAGGTGCGCGATTTTTGTCCAGTCTCTTCCCGCATCCCCCATACCCCTTTCCTCTCCAAGAATAGTCAGTCCACTCCCTTTCTATACCCCTGATTCTATTATAATCACCAGTTTATTCTGTTCATCAGGTCAGGGTTGGCTCAGTGGAAAGAGCGTTGGCCAAACTGTTCAATTCTGGCCACTTCTCTCTTACCAATGTTTCTTTTTTTAAAAAAAACAAAAACATTTTATTTTTTTTTTAGAGAGAGGAAGGGAGAGAGATAGAGTTAGAAACATCGATCAGCTGCCTCCTGCACATCTCCTACTGGGGATGTGCCCGCAACCCAGGTACATGCCCTTGACCGGAATCAAACCTGGGACCTTTCAGTCCGCAGGCCGAGGCTTTATCCACTGAGCCAAACCAGTTTCGGCTAAAGGTCTTTTGAAGCAAGTCTCAAGAGGCTGGGGTAAATGTAATCAGGTCACTATTTCCTTATGTTAGAGCAGTGGTTCTCAACCTTCCTAATGCTGCGACCCTTTAATACAGTTCCTTGTGTTGACCCCCAACCATAAAATTATTTTCGTTGCTACTTCATAACTGTAATTTTGCTACTGTTATGAATCGTAATGTAACTATCTGATATGCAGGATGTATTTTCAGGGGTCGCGACCCACAGGTTGAGAACTGCTGAATCGTAGCTATAATTTATATTCAAACTTATATAGTGTCACCAGATTCTTTGTGTGCCACCAATGAGGAATGCTTCTTAGTACACTTGGCAAATCTGAAACCCGCCCAGTCGGTTGTGAGAATTCGGTCCATTCATTGAGAAGAGAGCATGAGAGAGTAGCCACGACAACTTCACACATCCTTAGACAATTGCAGCACTGCTGGTTCCTGCAGTACTGATAATTACCGCGTGAAATTTCGCAGTTGTTCTCGCGAGAGAAAACCAGCCGCCGGGGCAGAGTCGCAGTACCGGTGCGCAAGCGCAATTTTGCCAACGCCCCATTCTTCCTACGCACGCGCTGGTGACGTCAGAAGTCAAGGGAAGGCCGCCTACGAGAGCAAGTCTGCATTTCCTCCCCCTTCCCTGGCCCATTCTCAATTTCACTTCCGGTCCTTCATTTCCGGTTCTTTCCCCGCCCCCTTTTTTTCCTTCCGACAGAAAAATCGGTGGTGCGTCGGTTAGAATCTTCAGTTCCCGCCGGGGTTGGCCTCCCCTGAGGCCGGGAAGTTCTCTGGCCACGCGGTCCGAGGGCGGCCCCCCTCACTTGCACCATGGTGAGTAGGGGGGCGGGTTGTAGGGAGAGCGAGCCGGCGGGCCGTGAGGACTCCCAGCACCATCGGAGGCGTTCAGGCGGCATCACTGCGGGCCTCGGGCTCCTAGGCTGGAACTTGGGAATTCTCTTCTTGCCTCTCTTTAGCTGTCAGAATTTGGAGGAGGAAACTGGAATGTCGAGAGCCACCATCTCCCAATGGTGTTTTAATCTGGACGAAGCGCTTTACGTTACAGATAGGGGAAACTAAGGAACAGAGAGGCACAAGGACCGGCCCCGATTCAGGGTGTCGGATTGTTTGTCCCCAAGTCACACTGCGGTTGTGACAATATGTTCCTAGAGTATTGACTTAGGTCCGTTCTTCCCCGCAAGATGTAAACTTTTTGAGGGTAGGGTCTTTTCACCATTGCTTCTTTAATGTCCAACACTGTGTCTGACACGTTGCAGGAGTTCAGTAACGTGTGAATGAATGTCACAGTGTCTGCACGAGGGTGTGATCTCTGGGCTGGCGTGGTAAGTGGGCTTCATTCAAGAAGTGCTCACGACGGGTAAACAGGAGAGTGCTGGTACAAAAATGATGCGCATACATGTTGGTTACAATAGTATTTTCATTAAGTGAGGCCCCCATAAGAAGCACTCGACGCCATAGTAAGGTTACAGTATAGAATAATTACAACATAAGGGCATAGTGGAAGCCCTTGTAGATTGATGAGCACAAGAGGCTAAGAAGAAAGGAACCAGCTGGCTAGAAGCAGCACTTTCTGTAGGAGGATATGCTCCAAAGTTACTGCTGCATACTGCCCTTTCTGAACTCTGGCGAGCATTGGGCATCTCCTTGGACCTGGATATTTATGGTTACAGGGGTTGTTGGGTATTTTATATAACTGTCACCATCACACGTTCATCACCCTGGATACATACCCTTATTACTGATCACTTATAATTGATTCATTGTTTTGGAGGACGTTCCCGTGAGTTCCATGGGAAGAACCATGGCAGAATTCCCAGCACCTAGCATGGTGTTTCAAGCATGGAGTAAGCATTGAGAAACACTGAATTAAATATTTAGGAACTATAGGCTTTAATGAAATACGTAAGGCACAGACCACCTCAGCCTTCAGCAGGATGGCTTCCCCTCCGAGAGCCTCTATTTTATTCCTTAGTAGATATTGTGCTCATTTATCCCAAAAGCATTTGCCAAGTTTGTTTCTGTGTCCAGTGAAGTGGAGGGTCAGAAAGGAGTTTTAAGTGAGCTCATTTGCTGAGTGTCTATAAACTGCATAACTGATGTCTTCATGTATTTATCTCATCAAGTCATCATGACATTTCTATGAGATAAGAGGTACACACTACTGTTGTAAAGTAGTCTTAGAGAGACTACTTCTTAGGGATGGTAAGTTGAAGAGCCGAGAATAAAATTCAGTTACATGACTCAGCAAGAATTCTTTCTGCTTATATCCAGAAAACATCTTCCCTGCCTGACATTGTGTTTTTCAGGGATAGTTGACCTGGCACTAATGTGACAATACTTACATAAAACTCACTTTGTAAAAGTCAGTCTTCCTCAAATTGCATTGCCAGGGAACAGACAGTTGTGATGCTGGATAGAAAGTGCCATGGTGGTATACCCAGACAAAGGGTAGCAGTTTAGCTGGGAAGAAGGGGGTCATGAAAGAACTTCTGGGATAGTGATGACAAAGGTAAATTTTGAAGGATGACTAGGAGTTAGTCAGATCCAAGGGGCTGTGGAGCAGACAAAGATTTTAGATAGAGGGAGCAGCATAGGTAAAGTCACAGGATTTGGGATATCTTTTAATATATATTTTTAACATGTTTTTATTGATCTTAGAGAGAGAGGAAGGGAGAGGGATAGAGAGAAGGAAATATTCATAAGAGAGAACCATTGATTGGCTGCCTCCAGTTTGCCCCCTAATGGGGATCGAACCTGCAACCTGGGCATGTGTCCTGACCAGGAATGGAACTGTGACCTCTTGGTTCATAGTTCGAGGCTCAACCACTGAGCCACACTGGTAGCACATAATATATTTTTTTATTTTGAGAGGATGTTTACTAAAGCTGGGGGCAAGGAAGGGCTTAGGATAGAAGAAGCAACAGGAGAGAGCCTAGGCAGGGTTGCTTTGGGTCTCTAGAAATGTTATAGGAAAGAAATGAGCCTAGGCTGCTTTGGCTCACTGGAAAGTCAAAGGAAAGGAGCCTTGGAGACAGGGTCAGGGGTTAGCCCAGGATGAGCTGTTGCTGCCCATTGCTCCGCTGGTTGCAAGTCATTTTAAAAATGGATATTTTTCTTCCCTTCTCTCTCCTTTTAGGCCCGAAATGCAGAAAAGGCCATGTAAGTATCAACTTGATTTTGTCTGTAAATTTTATGTAACAGTTATTACCACAGAGCTCTTTTTGTATTTGGTCCTTTTGGTACATGAGCCTTTTGGTACACGTTTCTTTCTCTACATACTTTAAAATAGTATTCCCATATTTTCCCATTTGTTTTCCCCATTAGTGTTTTCTGACAGCTCCTAGAACTTTTACCAGATGAACATTCATTCATCTGGGGATGGTGCATGGGCTGAGAGTGGCAGCTGGGGCACCCCAGGATATTAGCCTTTAACATCTGGATGTGTTGCTCACCACAGTGGTCTAATAAATAGTTTCCCACAGTCCTTACATGGAGTGAAAATAAAATAAAAACTCATAACTTCTCTGTGGTTTCTAAATCACAACACACACACACACACACACACACACACACACACACGATGTTAAATATGGTCATGAGCAGATTTACCCTATCCAGGAACTTGGGTGATAAGAGTCTGTGCAAGATCTAATGGAGTCTTCTCTCTTTCTGGTAGGACGGCCTTAGCAAGATTTCGCCAAGCTCAATTGGAAGAGGGAAAAGTGAAGGTTGGTGTAAATTTTCCTCATAAGTTGTAAATATCATGAACAAATGTGGTAAAATTCTCCCCCGAGTAGTCTTCAAAACTCCAAATCTTCCTATTTGTTGTCTGTACTTGCTGACACACTTATGAATCTATACAGTTAAATTCCAGGTGTATGTCTCTGTACCTGGGGCAGTGTGAGGAGCTGGCTGCTTGTCCTTCTGTCTCTTTTGTACGATGATAATTGAGTTCTGATATCCCAGCTCTATTTAATATTGAATAATAGGAAGTGCTGTGGGGAACAGCTCTAACCTGAAACCAATAAATGATCTCAAACTCACAGAGACTCAGCCAGGTTAGGGATAAAATGTACCATTCTTTGAATTATTTTATTTTTTTCTTCAGGTTTTTGTATTAGTTTCAGGTGTACAGCGTAGTGGTTAGACAATCATACACTTTACAAACTATTCCCCCTAATATTTCTAGTTTCACCTGGCACCATACATAATTATTACAGTATTATTGACTACATTCCCTATTCTGTATTTTACATCCCCATGACTATTTTGTAACTACCAATTTGTACTTCTTATTCCCTTAACCTTTTTCCCCCGTCCCCCAACCTATCCCCTGCCCTTCTGGCAGTCATCAGTCTGTTCTCTATGAGTTTCTTTCTGTTTTGTTTGTTCGTTTATATTGTTCTTCAGATTTAACATATAAGTGAAATCACATGGTGTTTGTCTTTCTCTGACTGACTTATCTTACATAGAATAATACCCTCTAGATCAGCGGTTCTCATCCTGTTGGTCGCGACCCCTTTGGCAGTCGAACGACCCTTTCACAGGGGTCTTCTAAGACCATCCTACATATCAGATATTTACATGACGATTCGTAACAATAGCAACATTACAGTTATGAAGTAGCAACGAAAATAATTTTATGGTTGGGTCATAACATGAGGAACTGTATTTAAAGGGCCAGAAGGTTGAGAACCACTACTCTAGGTCCATCTATGCTATCACAAATGGTAAGATTTCATTTATTTTTAAAAAATATTTTTATTGACTCTAGAGAGAGAGGAAGGGAGAGGGAGAGACAGAGAAAGAGAGAGAGAAACATTAATGTGACAGAGAAACATTTATCAGCTGCCTTCCACATGCACCCCAACGGGGGATTGATCCTGAAACCTAGACATGTGCCCTGACTGGGAATCGAACTGGTGACCTGTTCTGTGCACCTGACATTGCTTGACCAACTGAGCAGCACTGGCCAAGGGCATTCTTCTTTATGGTTGAGTAATATTCCATTGTATATATGTACCACAATTTTAAAAATATATTTTTATTGATTTCAGAGAGGAAGGGAGAGAGAGATAAAAATGATGAGAGAGAATCATTGATCAGCTGCCTTCTACACGCCCCACACTGGGGATTGAGCCTGCAACCTGGGCATGTGCCCTGACTGGGAATCGAACCGTGACTTCCTGGTTCACAGGCCGAGGCTCAACTACTGAGCCACGCTGGCCAGGCTATTATTGGACTTTTAAGTTGTTTCCATTGGCTTATTGTTTTAAATACAATGCAATGAATGTTTTTGCTAATATAGTTGTTTCCTAAATAGAGACTATAGAGTGGGTTTAAGGCTTGATTAAGATCTGCAATTGGAACTTCAGATGTGTTTAAACCATTAGACATCTTAGATTTCAGGCCTGAATCAGTTGAACGGTGAATGAAGCTTGTACCTTCATACAATATAGTGCTAACGTGTATAATTTGCTTCTTTTTAGGAACGAAGACCCTTCCTTGCCTCAGAATGTACTGAGTTGCCCAAAGCTGAGAAGTGGAGACGACAGGTAAATTCTGAATATGATCTTAGTAGAAGTAACAAGTCTCTAATTGCTTCTTATTACCTAAATGACTCTTAAAACCAAAATTCTAAGGTTTTTAATTACCAGTTTTTAATTATATTTTCCTTTGCTTTTAGACATATTAAAAAGTCATAAGAATTTGCTAACTTTTTTTTTTACAGATCATTGGAGAGATCTCTAAAAAAGTGGCTCAAATTCAGAATGGTAAGTTTATCTACTTAAAGTGCTTGATTTTAAAAGACACAATTAGACTTGGGGACTTCGACACACTATTCTACCTTTTTATTGATTTATTGATTGATTATAGAAAGAGAGAGGGATAGAGAAAGAGAATATTTGTTCTAGATCTGTGAAATATGCCTTTGGTATTTTTATTTATTTATTTATTTATTTACTAGAGGCCTGGTTCATGAGTCTGATGGGGGCCGATCAGGCAGGGCTGGTGGGGAGGAGGGGACATAGGAGGTTGGCCAGCTGGCCCTGCCCCTGATTGGTCCAGGTGTGTCGGGGGTGATGGGGGGGGTGAGGCTGGCCAGGGGGAGGGGCCGTGGGTGGTTTTGGGGAGGGGCCTATGGGGCCCTGATCAGACCTGTTGGCTGCTGCAGTGCGCGTCATAGTGACCAGTTGTTTGGGTCACTGGGCTTTTATATATATAGATTTTTATTTATTTTTTGTTAATTCTCACCCGAGGACATTTTTCCAGTTATCTTTTATTTATTTTTTTTAATCATTATTTTTTTAATGAGGCCTTTTTTTTTTTTTTTTCAATTAATCTTCACCAGAGGATATTTTTCCATTGATTTTTAGGGAGAGTGGGAGAGAGAGGGAAAGACAGAGAGAAACATCAATGTGAGAGAAACACATCAATTGGTTGTGTCCTTCACGAGCCCTGACCAGGGCCCGGGCTGGGGAGGAGCCTGCAACCAAGGAACGTGCCCATGATCGAATCGAACTTGGGACTCTTTGGTCTGCAGGTTGACACTCTATCCACTGAGCCAAACCAGCTAGGGCTGTCTTTGGTATTTTAATAGGAATTGTGTTGAAGCTATAGATTGCTTTGTGTTGTATGGATATTTTAATTATGCTCGTTCTTCCAATCCATGAACACCGTAAATGCTTCCATTTGTTTGTTTTTTCCTTTATTTCTTTTGTCAATGTCCTGTTGTTTTTCGAGTACAGGTGTTTTACCTCCTTGGTTTAGTTTATTCTTAGGTATCTTATTTTTTTGTTGCAGTAGTAAATGGGGTTATCTTTTTAGTTTCTCTTTCTGAGAGTTCATTACTGGTGTATAAAAATGCCATTGATTTCTAGATGTTAATTTTGTATCCTGCTACTTTGCCAAATTCATTTATTAAATCTAGTATTTTTTGGTGGAGTGTTTGGGTTTTCTATGTATAATATCCTGACATCTTCGAGGAATGACAGTTTTATTTCCTTCTTTCCAATTTGGATGACTTTTTCTTCTTGTCTGATTTCTTTTTTCATCTCATTGATAACCCATTCATCATTTAATAACATGCTATTTAGCCTCCATGTGTTTGAATATTTATTAGTGTTTTTGTTGTCGATTTCTATTTTCATGCCATTGTGATCTGAGAAGATGCTTGATATGATTTTAGTCTTCTTAAACTTATAAAGACTTATTTTGTGTTCCAACATGTGGTCTGTTTTGAGAATGTTCCATGTGCACTTGAGGAGAATGTATATTCTGCAGCTTTGGGATGAAATGTTCTATAAATATCAATTAAATCCATCTGATCTAGTGTGTTGTTTAAGGACATTGTTTACTTGTTGACTTTTTGTTTGGAAGATCTATCCAGTATGTCAGTGGGGTGTTAAAGTCCCCTAATAGGTCTATTGTTGTGGCATTTATTTTTATGGGCATGACACTGAGTGGTGTTTTGAAGATATGATATGAATGTTTTTGTTTTCTAGCTGGTTTAGGTGAATTCCGAATTCGGGACCTGAATGATGAAATTAACAAATTGCTAAGAGAGAAAGGACACTGGGAGGTCCGGATAAAGGAGCTGGGTGGTCCTGATTATGTAGTAAGTAAGCAACAGTCCCTATGGCTGTTCGGAATGAGCTTGGGAGATTTTGGGTGGGCTGGATAGGGCCTGTCTAGGAGCCTGCAGCTCCCAGCCTGTGCCTGCTAGAGGGCAAGCACTCAAGACATGAAAGAAGGCTTGAAAAAGTGTCTGTTGGCCCTAGCCAGTTTGGCTCAATGGACAGAGCGTCAGCCTACGGACTGAAGGGTCCCTGGTTCTGTTCCAGTCATGGGCACATGTGTGGGTTGCAGGCTTGATCCCCAGGAGGCAGCCAATCAATGATTCTCTTATCAGTGATGTTTCTATCTCTCTCCCTCTCCCTTCTTCTCTGAAATCAATAAAAATATATATTTTTAAAAAAGGTACCTGTTGCATGTGGACAGGAAACCTATGAAAAGGATAGGTCGGATAATGTTTAAAGACTCCACAGAACAAGGCTCAGATCAGATAGGATACCTACAGATACCAGCCAGATGTTCCTGAGTAAGCCCCTTGATTTCTCTGGGCCTTGTTTAAAATGACCATGACCCTGCCCAACCGGCATGGCTCAGTGTTTGAGCATCGACCCATGAACCAGGTCACGGTTCGATTCCCGGTCAGGCCACATGCCCAGGTTGCAGGCTCAATCCCCAGTGGGGGGAGTGCAGGAGCAGCCGATCAATGATTCTCTTATCATTGATGCTGAGCCCCAGTGTGGTGGGTGGTGGCCGACTCTGCCACCGAGGTTAGAGTCCGCTCCCTGGTGTGTTGATTTTTCTCCCAGCTGCTGCCTAATCGATGAAAAGAGTTATTACAATGGATGGTGGTGATGGTTACATGACATTATGAATGTACTTATTATCAGTTTTATGTATGCATAAGAATGCTTAAGATGGTAAATTTTTTTTTCCTCATCCAAGGATATGTGAGGGTGGGGAGAGGGAGGGATGGAGAGAGAGAGAGAGAGAGAAAAAGAAACATCGAAGTATGAGAGAGAATCACATTAATCAGTTCCCATATGTGCCCCCACCGAGAATTAAAATGCTAACCTTTCCATCCACGGGATAACGCTACAACCAGTTGAGCCACACTGACCAGGGTGATGGTAAATTTTATGATATGTGTATTTTTCCACAATAAAAAAAGAAAAGTATAAAGTTCAGAAAAGTATAAAGAAGCAGAACAACATTTGTCATCAAGTTCAGAAAAGTATAAAGAAGCAGAACAACACTTAGTTGTCTGCAATACTTGAATATTTCCTTTTTTTGTAATCCTTTTTTCTTTGATCAGCATCTGAGGATATGTATAATAATAAAAGCCTAATATGCTAATTAGACCAGAAGTCCTTCCGGATGACCTTCTGGACGAAGCTGGGGCTTCGAGGGAAGCCCAGGTCCTGGGTGCCTGCCTGCAATTGGAGGGAAGCCTGGGTCCCAGGTGCCGGAGGGAAGCCGGTGCTGGCAGCCGGGGCATATGTGCCCCCACCGAGAATTAAAATGCTAACCTTTCCATCCACGGGATAACGCTACAACCAGTTGAGCCACACTGACCAGGGTGATGGTAAATTTTATGATATGTGTATTTTTCCACAATAAAAAAAGAAAAGTATAAAGTTCAGAAAAGTATAAAGAAGCAGAACAACATTTGTCATCAAGTTCAGAAAAGTATAAAGAAGCAGAACAACATTTGTCATCAAGTTCAGAAAAGTATAAAGAAGCAGAACAACATTTGTCATCAAGTTCAGAAAAGTATAAAGAAGCAGAACAACATTTGTCATCAAGTTCAGAAAAGTATAAAGAAGCAGAACAACATTTGTCATCAAGTTCAGAAAAGTATAAAGAAGCAGAACAACATTTGTCATCAAGTTCAGAAAAGTATAAAGAAGCAGAACAACATTTGTCATCAAGTTCAGAAAAGTATAAAGAAGCAGAACAACATTTGTCATCAAGTTCAGAAAAGTATAAAGAAGCAGAACAACATTTGTCATCAAGTTCAGAAAAGTATAAAGAAGCAGAACAACATTTGTCATCAAGTTCAGAAAAGTATAAAGAAGCAGAACAACATTTGTCATCAAGTTCAGAAAAGTATAAAGAAGCAGAACAACATTTGTCATCAAGTTCAGAAAAGTATAAAGAAGCAGAACAACATTTGTCATCAAGTTCAGAAAAGTATAAAGAAGCAGAACAACATTTGTCATCAAGTTCAGAAAAGTATAAAGAAGCAGAACAACATTTGTCATCAAGTTCAGAAAAGTATAAAGAAGCAGAACAACATTTGTCATCAAGTTCAGAAAAGTATAAAGAAGCAGAACAACATTTGTCATCAAGTTCAGAAAAGTATAAAGAAGCAGAACAACATTTGTCATCAAGTTCAGAAAAGTATAAAGAAGCAGAACAACATTTGTCATCAAGTTCAGAAAAGTATAAAGAAGCAGAACAACATTTGTCATCAAGTTCAGAAAAGTATAAAGAAGCAGAACAACATTTGTCATCAAGTTCAGAAAAGTATAAAGAAGCAGAACAACACTTAGTTGTCTGCAATACTTGAATATTTCCTTTTTTTGTAATCCTTTTTTCTTTGATCAGCATCTGAGGATATGTATAATAATAAAAGCCTAATATGCTAATTAGACCAGAAGTCCTTCCGGATGACCTTCTGGACGAAGCTGGGGCTTCGAGGGAAGCCCAGGTCCTGGGTGCCTGCCTGCAATTGGAGGGAAGCCTGGGTCCCAGGTGCCGGAGGGAAGCCGGTGCTGGCAGCCGGGGGAAGGAAGGCCTATTCTTGCACGAATTTCGTGCAAGGACCTTGGCCCCGGCCCCCGCCCGCCATGGCCGGGGGCCTCTGTGGCCTCTGCTTTGGCCCCTGTCCATCACCGCCGTGGCCGAGGGCCTCTGCCACCTCTGCTGTGGCCCCCGCCTACTGTGGCTTTGTCCGGAAGGAAGGACATCCGGAAGGACATCAGGTCTAATTAGCATATTACCCTTTTATTATTACAGATTTTTTATTTTATTTAGAGAGAGAGAAAGGAGGCAGGGAAAGAGGGAGAGATAGAGAAGTATCCATGTGAGAAAGAAATATCATTTGGTTGCCTTCCATACCTGGCTTGACTAGGGACCGAACCCACAACCTGGGTTTGTGCCCTGACCAGAAATTGAACCCCACTACGTTTCCATATATGGGAGAACACTCAACCAACTTTTAGATATTTAGATGGATTTTTAAAGGATAAAAAGGTGCCTAATTATTTTTCTGTGTACATAAATATTTTCTCTTTTTCTTTGCCATTAAGAAAGTTGGCCCTAAAATGCTGGATCATGAGGGCAAAGAAGTCCCGGGAAATCGAGGTTACAAATACTTTGGAGCAGCAAAAGATTTGCCTGGTGTTAGAGAGCTATTTGAAAAAGAACGTAAGTAATAAATATTTGTGTGGGTTTTGGCCTCAAATTTTTTTTAAACATTACAAATAGACTTTTACTTGTCACCATTGAAGTAAGTCTGAATTTTAACCCTTTGAGTGCTAACCAATATCCTAGGAACTGCTAAAATTGCCAAGGCATTTTTGCTGATTTTACAGCAGTTTAGGAAAAAAATTATGAATCGCAAGTAAATGAAGTTACATGTTCAATAACTTAAGGAAACCTTTACTACATTTGTTTTCATCTTTGGCATATGTTGTTTGCTGATTGTATTATAAAATACTAGTAGAAAAAAAAATTTGAACAAAACATATAATGTTAAAATAGAGGGGCACCCTTCTTCAATATTTTCCACAAAATTGTCATCTTCACAGCAAGAATTGACATATTTAGCAATATCATCATCACTAATAAAAGCAGACTTAGAACTGGACTCCATTTCGAAGCTTTAGGGCTACAAAATCTGAGTAAACTTCATAATATCGTAGTACCTGTAAAAATTAGGCAGATAAATGCCAGTGGTCAATTTTAGAACTGCAAACATTCGACATCATAAGTAATCTGCACTTAGGTGCCATCTGTCAATAAAGAGTGAACTACTAGCCTCCAACAGTGACACTGTAGGAGGAGCGCGATAGCGCTCCCAGCACTTTTGGCGAAAGACAGGAGGAGCGCGATCGCCGTCCCAGGCACTCTAGGGGTTAAACAGATTCTTGGACTGGGGGCTCATATCCATTAGCTCACTTCACTTTCAGAGCCTGTCTCATCCCTAGTGGCTTTGCCAGAACTGCTACCTTCACCATGAAGCTTCATGAGTTTTCTCAATTCAAACTTGTGCTGCTTCAGCATTTTTACTTTTCTGACAAAGACATCATGGAGCAGACAAATAGATTGGCAAGACTTTTCTATGTCTTTTCCAATGCTATCTGGAATCAATTTATTGACTACTTCTTTCAGGTCATTTGTACCTCTTGGGTCATGATTTTCATCTTTTTCCAGATTTGGCAGAGTGTTGATACTGAGCCTAAGAAGTCTTTTGAACCTGATTGCTGTGTTTTTTAGTAAAGCCAACACAGAATAGATGAATTAAATAACTGTCGGTAGTCTTGATATCAACATGAGCTTTAATCATGGGCTACTATTTTTTGAATATGGAACACATTTTGTCACAGGTTAGATCAATGTCATGAAAATTGGGCAGTTTTTGCCCTGAGTATCCTCAGTAATTAGCTTTAATATTCTAAATACAACTTCATCATTCTCAGATAAGTTAGGCTCACTTCAAAAACACGACCCTTAAGACCATCAGGTGCAATTTGGGTTTCTTGAGTCCTGTGACTAGTGTTTTTCTAATATTTTTTACATTGAACATAACTCGTGCTTTCACATCATACCAATCTTTCTCAGAAAACAGATCAACCACTTTCTCATTGGCTCCCTTTTTGCCACTTTCTGATGCTGCTCAGAAAACCAAAAATACTAGCCTTGAATTTATTGGTAATCATCATAACAGTAGATATGCTATATGCTGGGTGCTTCTCCTATATTACTTCTTAGCTGCACAGCAGCCCAGTAGTATCAGAATTATTGTTCCCAGGTTTTTAACAAGAACCTTTAAGCACTAGGAAATGAAGTTACAGACCCAGGATACACAATTGGGGCTGAAAAGTACCTAGAAATGACTAGTGCCAAATTCCACACTCTTTGCACATACTAGACTCTTATTCTGAATGAGGAGTTCCTCTCTTTGAAATGTCCCAAAATTACAAGGCAGGATTTTAATTGAATTGGATTCATATTTCACTTACCTATTATTTGGAGGGGGGAAAACCCCCAAAAAACCGACAAGTAAGACCGTGGGCCTAATCACAATAGGTAAAGATAGAGAAAAATCAAGCTGCTCTGTGTCGATCCAAGCCAGGCACCCTTATTTCTCCTGTCCTTTCATGGCCCTGGGAAACTTCAGTCAAACCTTGGCCTTTCACAATGGAAACCACTGGTCTGGAGTTTTCGTGCACAGGCATACACTGGAGATATTACAGGTTCAGTTCCAGACCACAGCAATAAAGCAAATATCTCAGTAAAGAGAGTTATGAATATATTGGTTTCCCAGTGTATATAAAGTTGTTTACACTATACTGTAGTCTATTAAGTTTGCAATAATAGCATTATGCTAACAAATAATGTACACACCTTAATTTAAAAATATTTTATTGCTAAAAAATGTTAACCATCACCTGACCCTTTAGTGAGTAATCATCTTTTTGCTGATGGAGGGTCTTTCCTTGATGTTTATGGCTGATGACTCATCAGGTTGGTAGTTCCTAAAGACGGGTGGCTTTGGCAATTTCTTAATAAAACAACAGTGAACTTTGCCTCATTGTTTCACTCTTCCTTTCATGAATGATTCTCTGTAGCATGCCATGGTGTTTGATAGTATTTTACACACAGTAGAACTTATTTCAAAATTGGAGTCATACACACACACACACACACACACACACACACACACACACACACAATTGGAGTCAGTCCTCTCCAACCTGCCACTACTTTATCAAGTGTATGTAATATTCTAAACCCTTTGTTGTCATTTCAACACTCTCCACGGCATCTTCATCTTCTATCCACTGAGCCAAACTGGCCAGGGCTTCTATTCCATCTCAAGTAACCACTTTCCTTGCTGATCCATAAGAAGCAACTCCTCATTCATTCAAGTTTTATCATGAGATTGCAGAATTCAGTCCCGTCTTCAGGCTCTACTTGTAATTCTAGCTCTCTTGCTGTTTCCACCACATTTACAATTACATCCTTGACTAGAGTCTTAGACCCCTCAAAGTCATCCATGAGGGTTGGAATCAGCTTCTTCCAAATTCTGGTTAATGTTTATATTTTGACCTCATGAATCATGGATGTTCTTAATGAAATGTAGAATGGTGACTCCTTTTCAGAAGATATTTCATTTATTTGCCCAGATCCATCAAAGGAATCACTATTTATGGCAGCTATCGCCTTACAAAATATATTTCTTAAAGAATAAGACTTAAAAGTCAAAATTACTCTTTGATCCATGTGCTTCAGAATGGATGATGTGTTAGCAGACATGAAAACAACATTAATCTCATACATCTCTTGGGTGACCACTGCATTGTAATGAGCAGTAATATTTAGAAAGGAATCGTTTTTTTCTGAGCAGTAGGTCTCAACAGGAGCTTAAAGTATTCAGTAAACCATGTTGTAAGCAGATGTGCTGTCATGCAGGTTTTTTGCCCCATTTATAGACAGGCAGAGTAAATTTAGCATAATTCTTTTTTAATTGATTTATTTTTATTTTTATTTTTTATTTTTAGAGAGAGATGGGGGTAGGGAAAGGGATAGAGAAACAGAAACATTGATGAGAGAAACATCAATCGACTGGCTCCTGCATATCCCCTGCTGGGGATAGAGCACATAACCTGGGCATGTGCCCTGACTGGAATCAAACCAGTAACCTCTTGGTGCATGGGTCAATGCTCAACCACTGAACCAAACTGGCTGGGCTATTTGTATTTCTTTTATTACTAATGAAATTGATAATTAAATTCAGTTATTAATTGACATTTGTATATTTATGAATTTTTTTCTTCTTAAATTATCAGCTTTATTCTTTGACCAATCTGTTGGGTTATCATTTCTCTCCTCCACAACCCCAAATTTGTATTTATTGATTTTAAGGAGAGAGAGAGAGAGAGAAACATCGACTTATTGTTTCACTTATTGATGCATTCATTGCTTGATTCTTGTATATGCCCTGACCGGGGATTGAATCCATAACCTTGCATATCGGATGACACTCTAATCAACTGAGTTACCCAGCCAGGGTGTCATTTCCCTTTTGATTTTCAAGAATTACTTAAATATTCTGAATAGTAATCCTAAGTCTGAAAATATTTTCTTCAGGTCTTTCTCACTTATATGTTTTGTTTTTTTATAGTTTCTTTTGTGTTTTTTATATACTTATGTTTTCCCCTAATGTTTTTTGTTTTTTTTCGTGTTTTTGGTTTGTTTGTTTTTTTTCATTAAACATTATGGCATTTTCTGTTATCAAAGCACCTTGTGAAAAACAGTATTATTGGGGCTGGAGGCTACCCCATCTCATACACATTCTGCAATTAACTATTCTAAGATATTCTCAATTTTCATTGTTATATAAATAATGCTGTGATGTACATCTCTGTCCATAAAGCTTTGCCAGCTTTTGTTGTTGTTTTTTAATTAGGATAGATTCTTTTTTTCTCTTCTCTCTCTCTCTCTCTCTCTTTTTTTTTAATATATATTTTTATTGATTTTTTACAGAGAGGAAAGGAGAGGGACAGAGAGCTAGAAACATCGACGAGAGAGAAACATCGATCAGCTGCCTCATGCACACTCCCCCACTGGGGATGTGCCCGCAACCAAGGTACATTCCCTTGACTGGAATCGAACCTGGGACCCTTGAGTCCACAGGCCGATGCTCTATCCACTGAGCCAAACCGGCCAGGGCCTCTTTTTTTTGTTTTGTTTTGTTAATCCTCACCTGAGAATATTTTCCTATTGATTTTTATTTTATTTATTTTTTTAAAATTTTTTATTGATGTCAGAGAGGAAGGAAGAGGGAGAGAGAGATAGAAACATCAATGATGAGAGAGAGTCATTGATTGGATGCCTCCCAGATGCCCCCCACTGGGGACTGAGCCCACATCGGGCACGTGCCCTCAACCAGAACCAAACCCAGGACCCTTCAGTCTGCAGTCTGATATTCTATCCACTGAGCCAAACTGGCCAGAGCTTCTATTGATTTTTAGAGAGAGTGTAAAGGAGGGGGAGAGACAAAGAGAAACATCAATGAGAGAGAGAGAGACACATCGATTGGTTGCCTCCCGCATGCACCCCTACTGGGCCAGCTGGGGCTCAAGCCTGCAACCAAAGTATGTGCCCTTGACTGGAATCGAACCCGTGGCTCTTTGGTCTATGGGCCAATGCTTACTAATCCAATGAGCCAAACCAGCAAGGACAGGATAAATTCTTTTTAAATGGACTAATTGGGTGAACGGTTTCAACACTGATGCATAGTACCACTTATATAATCCAATTACTAGTGTAAAGAAATGTCTTTCATATTTTCATGAACACACATACTATATGCCTCTGTAACAGTGTGCAGGGAGAAGGCTTGAGTGTGATAATGATGGGAAATTCAGCTAAGTTGGTACTCTTTCTTTTAGCTCTTCCTCCTCCAAGAAAGACACGTGCTGAGCTCATGAAGGCAATTGATTTTGAATACTACGGTTACCTAGATGAAGATGATGGTGTTATTGTGCCTTTGGAACAGGAATATGAAAAGAAATGTAGGTCTACAGGCATTTCGTTTCATTATATTTGGCATCTGGTTTCTTTCTCTTGAAACTGGGTTTTTAGATAGTGCTTTATGCCAGAAGGGAGTTTTCTTTGTTGCTAATGGTCCTCAGAGGAAATGATCTGCTAATGCCCTAACTCCCAGTAACTATGAGGCAGTTAGCATGGTGTTGGGCCAGAAGGAGCATGTTGGAGAAGCTACAGAGTGTCATCTCACCTGCTCCCTGTCCTCCAGGATTCCTTCCCAGACTAGCCTTTCTTGAAATCATGAAGTAGTGCCCACTTAAGGAGATTTAGATCTGCTTTAAACACAGGTAATGGGATATCAGTGCAGAGCAAAATGAGAGCTTTCTGAGAGCTTCCTCCATGACAAGCAAAATGCTGAGCCTTTTACGGACATTCTTTTGAAGCCTCATGACAACTCTGTGAAGAATAAGTGCTACTCCCCAGGAGGTGCACTGAACTAGGGCTTTAGAAGCAGGTAGTCAGGAGTTGGAGCCCTTTGCCAGCATGCTATATACAGCATCTCTTTTCACATGGGCATATCAGGAAGTCACCAAGGTTGATGAACTGGGGAGGATCTGAGGATGTTCCCTAAAAAGCTGCCTTGTAGTGACAAGTCAGAGCTGTGTGAGACCAGACTGCCCCTCACATCTGATTCCCTTCCACCAGGGCAGAATGAAGGGTGACCCTTTTCTGAGGGAACATCTTGGCTTTGCCCTGCATGATGTTTAAAGCTTATTTAGAAACCAAAGTAACACCTGCTGTCTCTTGTCTTCAGTCAGAGCCCAGTTAGTGGAAAAGTGGAAAGCAGAGAGAGAGGCTCGGCTGGCAAGAGGAGAAAAGGAAGAGGAGGAGGAAGAGGAGGAAGAAATCAACATCTATGCTGTCACGGAGGAGGAGGTACTGGTGGGCAGTGAGGGTCCCTCTGGCGCTCACTTACCTTCTGCTCTGAGTTGTGAAGCCTGGACCTTTTGGAAAGGGTGTCAGTGCAGGTCAAGTTTAGACACCGCTTTTTGCCTTGCCTGGGGCCTCCTGGTAGGAGCTACAAAGTGATCTGCAGTTGTGGCTGCTTGAAGGCATTTGGGGGAGGCTATGCTCTGAACCGAGGCCGACTGCCCCTAATGTTGGGCTTTGGACCCTTTGCTGGACACTGTGATATGAGCTGAGGCCAGCTGCCAGTTGTGCTACGCTTATGGCCACTTATTTGAAGCTACATTTCAAGCTGTGACTGGCTGCCACTTATGTCAGCCTTGGGGACACCTGATGAGAGTTATGGTGCAAGTTGTTGAGACCAGTTGCTGCATATACTCAGTCTGGGACTGCTTACCAAGAGATACAAGGCATGCTGAGGCCAGCCACTGCTTGTTTGGGGTTTATGCATCTTTCAGTGATTTTAAGAAAGTGCTTATGTGGAACAGCTGCTAGAAGAGGCTCAGGCTGGGTGATTGAGTTGAGTGGGGCTGGATCTCAGGGAATCAGGGTGGGGAGAACCATGTTAGCCAGGCTGGATGGGAGGAGGGCTCAACAAGGAAACAATGCTGCCTGCCAACATTTCTGTCCTGGAGAGAACTGCCCTGACTCCTGCCCCTCCTGCACCTGTCCTGAAGCTCGTCAATTTAGTTCCTCCCCATATGTATCTTGCACTTTTCAAGCTGTTGCCCCAGTGCTGGAGCCCAGAGTGAATGAGTTTGTGAGTAAGTTCATTTCCAGGCCCCTCAAGAGGAGTGCCTCGGTCTCCAGCATTCCTCCGTCTCACTTGGATGAATTCTCTGCTTGTTTCCACAGCCAAATGTTATGGGGATTCCTCTTCCTGGCACTGGTGCTCTGGGTTGGGGAGCCTGGTATGGGGTTGGGGCCCCTTGTTCCTCACTGGGGACATCCGCAGCGGAGATAACTCTCTTGATTCTTTTTTTTTTTTTTAATGTATTTTTATTGATTTCAGAGAGGAAGGAAGAGGGAAAGATAGAAACATTAATAATGAGAGAGAATCATTGATTGGCTGCCTCCTGCACACCCCCTACTGGGGATTGAGCCCACAATCCGGGCATGTGCCCTTAACTGGAATCAAACTGGGGACCCTTCAGTCCACAGGTGATGCTCTATCCACTGAGCCAAACCAACTAGGGCTCTCTTGATTCTTAATTGCCACACTGTGGGTATGAGACCTGCTGGTTCAGCATCTCTACCCCTCTCCTACCAGTCTTGACATGACAACTTCTATATAGTTTAGCTATAGGACTTTTGTTCAGTTGGTCTCCAGGTTTTTCTCATGACAGTCTATAATTTAGTTGTAGTTTTGATGTGGTAGTGGGAGGACAATACAGCATTTACCTATTCCATCATTTTGACCAGACTTTAAATTTAATTTTTTAAAATAGATAATAAATTTACAAAGATCAAGAACAAAACAGTATATAAAGATAGTCAACAAAGATTGTCTTTTGCAGCTCTGCCCTCCATCTACCTAGTTCTTGCTGCTGTCACTAGTTTCTATTCTATTTTCTTTCCTACTGCAAAAGTTAGCATACTATACACAATGTTTTGTTGATTTTTATACTTAACTAGAGGCCCGGTGCACGGATTTGTGCATCAGTGGGGTCCCTCAGCCTGGCCTGTGCCCTCTTGCAATCCAGTACCCCTCGGGTTGTCAGACTGCTGATTTCCACCCGAAACCAGCAGTTCAACATCCCCCAAGGCATATAGTAGTGTATGAAGTGGCAGGTGGCTGGGGAGGAGCCTGGGCCTGGGCCAGGCGCCGCACCACTCCCACTCATCCCAGCCCCACTGCGCCTACTGCTGCCACTCCGTAGCACTGCCGTGGAGGTGGGAGAGGCTTGCGCCCCTATAGCTGCGTTTGCCAGCTGTGAGCCCATTGTCTGGTGCCCGTCAGTCAGCTAAGCGGCATTCCTGCTATGGGAGCGCACTGACCACCAGGGGGCAGCTCCTGCATTGAGCGTCTGCCCCCTGGTGATCAGTGTGTGTCATAGCGACCAGTCAACTAGTCGCTTAGGGTTTTATATATATAGATGTT